AAATCATCACTTCTTATATCACCACTGTGATTAACAGCGTTATCAAACATCACATTTTGTATCCATATTATGGAGCTCTAGGTAGATGTTTCTAATAAAGTGGCACAATGTCTCATATCGACTCCTGTTCAAGACTTAAATTTAAGAGGGGCACAGCTAGCCAAGCTAACAAATTAGCACATGTGGAATTGAACAATATTAGGCAAAACGAAAGCATCCATTTTTAAAAGAGAGTTTAGCAAAAAATCTAAGTTAAACAAGGCTAATGTACATTTTGTACATTAATGTAGCCAACGAGTAATGAAAGCTACATTAGCACTGTTAATCAAATTTCATCCAGAATTTATTATGATTATTTAGGAAATGATTCAATGCACCATGAAAACTCGAATTTAACCATAATTCAATTTAATTACAATACTTTCAGACAAATTATACCCAGGCTTGCAAGCAAGATGTTGGACCAGTCCCCCATAATTCAAGACACAATAGCAAGGGAAGCCCACCAACACTTGGAGCAACGGTGCAAAATGCTCCTAAGGATACACGCTCCTTACTACAATAAAAGAAAACAATGTGTCAACAAAATGTATTAAATATTTCAACATTTAATACAACCTGTGCTGACAGCATTAATGAGAGAATTCAATAACTAGGTGTTTCTAATAAAGTAAAGTAAACCTCACATCTACAAGGTGGACCAGCAAAGTAGGAGTGGACAGTGAGTGGACACAGTGTTTAAAACTCCAGCAGCACTGCTGTGTCTGATCCACTCACACCAGCACAACACACAAATAGTTTTATGTTATAATATTGAAATTTTCTGGTTGTGTTTTGGGAATGGTTACAGAGCGTTTCTCAGTATTGTTTGTTGTGGCGTGCTGTTTCGTTGCTAAGCGTCAGGTTAGATTCTTTCAGGAAGGCCTAATCTGGAGTGTGGGCAGCAGTGAAGAAGTGAGCTACACAAAGCATCAATTATCAACACGCATGCACTTTCTCTCTCTCACTCTCTCTCTCTCTGACAATCGACCCCTCTCCTGAGCTGGGTGTTGGTTTTAGCAGGACGGCTCAAATTGTGAAACAAACCGCTTTAAAGGTGTGTTTGTGTGTGTGACCTCATCATATTACACACACTATAACTGTGTGTTTGTGTGTGTGTCTATGTGTGTGTGTAAGCACTAGACAGCAGATATAAAATCATTAGGCATGTGTATGAGAGAGAGACACTGTGTGGTATGTGTTTGTAGCTTGTGTTAAATGTTAAATTCTGGTATTTCTGCAGAAGCCAGAAGAAAAGCTTAAATATTCAATAGTGTAATAAAAAGCTCTTTCAGGCTAATCTGTCACAGTTACATCACCAGCCCTAACAGCTCACAGTCCCAACACTGAGCTTTAAACCCCAGTGTCATTCACTGCGCTATAAAACATTAGGAAAAACCACATCAGCCAGTCGGCAGCAAACAATAAGCTTTGATATTCCACTAGGCAGCATGCTGATTGTTGGCGGAACTGAGTGCGCACCATCAGTCTGTCACAGCAACACGACATGCTAGTCACAAGAGCGCTAGCTCAGCCTAAAGCTGCGCAAATGTGCTGTTACAACAGCTTACAGCAGAAACATCTTCAGTGAAAAAAGCTATGTACTTTTTTATGCATTAATTACCCAGAGATACTAGCCACTTTACTGGGAACACTTGCTGGTGTATATATAGAACTGTACCTCTGATGATTTGCAATTAGTGTTAGCCAGCGGTCAGAAACTGATGATGAATGGGTTACAGGGGATCTGAGGAGCTACAGTCTGTAACTCTACCTATATAGTGGACCTATGAGGGAGGAGTTTCTAGTAAAGTGGTCTGTGAGTGGAAGCACAAAGTAGGTGTTTCCAGTAAAATGGCCAACGAGTAGAAGTACAAGACAGCTGTTTCTGATACAGTGGCCTGAGAGTGTATGATTATAATGATATCTACTTGTACATCTATATAGAAGGGCTCAGCAAATATACTGTTTGATTCATAAAATCTGTTTTAAAAGGGTTTTATTACCAGTCAATAACTTTGGGATGGTTTAGTGTAACATTTGTGATCCAGAACTAATCCTCCAACCTCAGTATCTGACCTCACTAATGCCCTTGTGACTGAATGCAATCAAATCCTTACAGCAATCTTCCAACATCTAGTGTAAAGGCTTCTCAGAAGAGTAGAGGCTGTTACTGCAGCAAAGGGGGGCGAACTAGGGGGGCGAATAGAAAAGCTCTAAAATCACTTGGAATAAAATCTCTTTACGTTGACTTACATTGAAAGGTAAGAGTGTTTTACACACACAAACACACACACACGCACACACACACACACACACCCACATATATATATATACACACATACACATATATGTATACACACACAGAAGCTCTGTGTTTCAGAAGGGGTCTTTTGGGGCATGGCCTGTATGTGTTGATTGTTATTTCGTGTTGGGCTGTAGCTGAGGAAGTGGGGGTTAGTGTATCTACTATGAGGAGGAAATGTTTGACTGGACATGACCTGCCTGCTCCCCAGCTGTGTATGTGCCTTTTCTGCATGTGTAAATAAAAGAGCACATCCCATATCAGAAATAATGGCCTTTCCCACATCTCCTTCTACACTGACGCCACAAAACCTATATAAAGCTACTATTTATAGCCAGAACGAAACTTTGCATCTCCATTTTTGTCATATTTCATTATTTTCAACACAATTTAGCTGCGCATTACACTGTGTCAAAATTTCATGATGATTGCTTTTCATAATAAATGCTCCAAACTGGCTTTAAATAAAATACTTTTTAGATATTCTGTTTTGTTCAACAAGACTATACTATATACCTATAGAGTTGGCAGAGCTCAAACGTGGTTAAGTAGTGGATGTAGTATATTCTTTGAAAACGAAAAGGTGCAAAAATGGGTTCTTTAGAGCGACGCCATTGAAGAACCACTTTAAAATTCTTTAAAATTATGGCTTTCTTCAGAACCATCCACTAAAAGGGAGCCAAAAGTTGTTCTTCAATGACACCTTTATATTTAGGAGTGTAGACGTTTGTCAAAAAGTAGATGGTGAGTGTATGAGGTCATTAGGCATCAATGGGCAGAAACTATTTTCAAATGACTGTCTTAGCTATTGTTAGCATGCTTGTACATTTCTGAAGGCTGTAAAAGCTGCTCTGAACAGATCCAATGGGAAAACATCTGACCTACAGTTGTATCTGATCTTTATCATTTAATTAGGCTACTCACCCTGTTCTCAAGTGCAATAGAAAATACAGCAAACACAATCCAGCCCTAAACCTGCTTATGATCACCGCCTGGTTTTAAAAAAAAGAGTTATTAAAGTGACTAAGCGCTACCACCATCACATGGAAGACTTTGAAGTTGAAAATCCACTTACTGGTGATTAAGACCTTCGGAAATCCAGCTGTAAACATTAATTGAGTCTCATTAACCAGCATGCATCACTGTTGATAATCTAGCTGCTGCTAAATCGGCTTTTCAGAAGATTTAGCCCACCAAACGCATTCGATTGCATCCAGTGGGGCAGTGTTTAGTGTTATAAACACCAGGCAGACAAAGCAGACAGAATGATCATGAAGTACAGCAGGGCATTATTAATTACAGCAAGAATCTTCAGTCTTACAAGTCTTCCGAAGCTCAGTTGTGATAAATTAGTGATAAATTGCATTCGGATCAGTACACATAAGTCTCAAACAAGATAGTCAAGTCCTGCAGCGTTTAAATATAATTTGCTGCGGAATTATTACTTAGCCAACTTCAAAAAAACTTCGGATTCTTACTGGATTAAAATCAAATCAAGTCAAATTACAGTACCTCCTCAGGTAAAATGAATCCAGCTTCAATATGGCTTAAACCACTGAGCACAGATCTTCTTTAACCCTTTCATGTCCAACAAATGCTTTGAATATGATAAGAAAAAATACCACAGAACTTGTGGTCTGTCTGATTTGTCTAACGTGATTAAATTTCTACATTTTTTACGATGAGCCTTTTTACGAGGCAGCATTACAGAAAATCAAGATCCAAGACCCAGATGAGTGTCGCCAAGGGCAACAGTGACAAGGGAAACTCCCTAAGAGCAAGAAACCTTCAGCGGAACCAAGACTCAAAAGAGCAACCCATCATCCTGTCGACATCCGTTAGCAAAACTGTGACAGATCAGGAGCAATATGGATAAATAATGACGATTTGACAACGAATATTCAACCATGAATAAAAAGAAAAAAAGAAATCAGCGAACAGAAGTATTAAAATTAATCAATGATAACCAGTGACTACTGTTAGTTGCCTATTAAAGCAACAAATTACAAACAGATCTATAATAATTTTGTGTAGTTATATCATGGATGAACATCTAACACTACTGTTTTAACTATATTGAATTTTCATACTTTTATTCAACTGTTCACAAACAGATTCAGACTGCCTATTATCTTGTTAGGAAGCAGTACTCTAATGTGACCGAACAGCCATATGGTTTGATGGAATTTCTTCAGATTTGTGCTCAGAGAACATCCAGACCAAAGGAAATGTAACGGGTTAAAATGTTGTGGTACAGATAACCCAAACCAATCCAAATGTTCATCGATCCAAATCTCAAAACACTTCAAATCAGCCTTTTTCTACTTGTTCCAACGTGGATATTTAACATCAGTACTGGAATTTATCCTGAGAAATATCCTTTACTCTATAATATCCTACTCTATACATATATACAATTTATATACAACATATAAATATCTTTTTCTTTGCTATAAGACATTATGAGAAGCACAAAATCTGTCATTTCAGTTACCATAAACCCAAACAATAATCAAATCATCCTGATTAGTGTAAGAAATCAGTCCAAAGGCTGTTTGCAGTGTTTACAGTTTCTGTTCTGCATCACAAACAACAACAAACCCAGTGTTCACACCAGCTTGAGTGTGTTTATCTTATGTGTGTGCGTGTGTGTTACCTCTGGCTCATGATCTTGTAAGCGTCAGGCAGGTAGCAGCGCGTGTTCTCCATCTGCGCAGGGTCAGCGTCGCAGATTTTGTCATCTGTCCGCCCATAGTTGGCGCTCTCAATCATGATGACGTCAGTGCCAGGACAGCGCAGCTCGATGGGATAACTCTCACAGGACAGCTCCCTCCGGACCACCGCCATCGGCACCGGAGCACGGCCGAACGCTAAAAACATAGAGAATAATCGCTCATTAATTACTACTGATATTACTGATATTACCTTATTAATTACATCATTATTTTAATGAGAACAGTATATATATTTACTGAGCCTCAGTTTATAAACTGCTTTATAAAACTACCCAAACACATCTTAGCTGCACTGTAAATTTCATTTGCAAAAGGGTAAGATCAAAGGAAAATACGTGAAAAACAAGTATAGAGAAAACGAGATTCCTAACAACCACCTGGAAGACCTCGTACACCAACAAAACTGTCCCCATCAGATAAACAAAAATGAAAGCTTTCAGGAGAAAATCAAGCTTCCCTTTTGATTGAGATCTGAAAACATCCACAGGTGTTTCTGTCCATCCTTCCACTGTGAGAGGACACTCAACACTATGAGTCTGAAAGGATATGTAGCTGTCAAGAAGCTCTTACTGAGAAACCTCACTCAGACAAAACTGGACATCTGTGAAAGCAGGTTTTACAGACTGATGAGTCTAAATATGTAATAGGAATTAGAAGCAAATACAACCAACTTCTAAGACTGAACTTTGGAAAAATATCCTTGTAGATACACTGAAAGTAAGTCTCCTGAAAAGAATGGAAGTGTTTATAAAGGCAAAGAGAGAACACATTAAATACTGAACAATTTCATTTTACACTGGTTGCTGAGGTTTCTGCATAATTTTCTGTTAAAAATGTTTTTTTTTTTTTAAATGGTGGTATTTGACAATGCATTATACTACTTCTGAAAATAATAACAGTAAATACACCAGTATTTAAGAAAACTATCAAAAAAATCCATAATTATTTTCCTTTATTTGGCCAGATCGCTTCATAAATTGTCAACCTTATAGAATACAAACAAGACAAGAATCAAAGCCACATCAGTCAAGAATATGTGTACAGTCATATGCAAAGGTTTGAACACATGGTCAAAATGACATGTTTTTTTCACATACTACATTTTCTACATGATTTCCATTTATTGGCTAAAATTAACATAATGAAAAATATGTTAAAAATAAATATGCTCAAAAAATCTGAAATGAGCCATAACTTTTGTACAGGCCCATTTTTTTCTCCCAATATGTTTAATTCAGCAAATAACCAGTACTTGTGTATTAAAATGTGCAGGAGTGTGTTCTCTGTAGAGGATGTGTAACTTTTAATTTAGAAAATCATTGTATATATATATATACATATATATATATATATATATATATATATATATATATATATATATATATATGCGCTGTGTAATAAATGTATATATTCAGCTCAAACACCCCTTTTTCAGGCTGTACCTTTCATTTTCACTTCATTAATGATTCAAACAAAGTGCTTAAAGATGGAATTGGTGTCTCTGTCTCTACACACACATCCTTAAACATCACCTTGAGAACTCAGACATATGAATTATCTCTACACTGATTCAGCCCTGCTACTGCAATGACAAATTAAAGCCTGCACTAATCAGGCGACAAGTTCAGTATACCGTGAACGCAGCCAGAGAGAGAGAAAGAAAGCTTCTAAACCCCGCAGCCATAAGAAGACCTTGTCTAATCTCCAAAATGTTAACTTTAAAGCAGGAGGAAACACATTTAAAAGGGAATTCCAAAAATATGTCAGAACTCCTGCATACTTAAAGTCAATAAGATGCAAATAAATTGGTTTAGAGTGGTTTAGTTAAGTGGTTGAGATGGAAACAAAATAATTCAGAGTGGCTTGATGTAAAGTGCTCCATTCTAGAAAAACGTCTTGTTCCAAGAGTTTAAAGCTCCTTCACAGAAAGTTATTATATGAAATTGTTATAAATATGCTGCCTAATGCCTGAGACATTATTCTATAAGGCAAATCATCCCCAAAGAAAACTTACCACTACTTTTACCATCATTACATATAAAACTCAAGATATATAGTTTCACTGGTGGTTTTGGACAGTAAATAAAAAGGCTGTATTTATTTTGTAGACTTCATGATTCCTGGCTCGTACCCCGCCACTGTAAAGAAACCTGAGTCAGTACGTTTCTCTACAGTGATCCAATTGAATCATTTGGTTTATATCTCATGCACAAATGCTGACAAACATATGGAATTCCCCTTTAATGTAATGAGACTATATTCCAAGACATTGTAGACCATTTCTGTTGGTCCATCTTCATGAGATGTTCCCACAATGTGAAGGCCAGCTGGAGTCTTTGAATGTAAAATGGTGCCAAAAAGTACTTTTATGTAACAGGGAAGAAAAGTTGTAGTGTATACTCTCAGCATTTCTGTTCGCCAATCCATATCTGCTTGTGTGTACGCCTGGTGTGAGGACCAAGAGGTCATGTTTGGAACAGATCGAAGTGCAGTACTTACAGAGAAGCAGCTCACTGATGCTGAAAAATTCAAAGGAAAACACAGCATGGAGACGTTCCATGTGCTGTTTAGACCTGGCTGGGGCAAGCTCTTCCTCTTACCATCTTAGCATGTGTAGTTTGATCCCTGGTGATGCCACAGCCATCCGTACGTATGAGTCCAAGACAGCACAGCTGTCCCCCCATGCGCAGTAGGACAGCGTGATTGTGCCATGTAAACAAAGTCTCTTTAGGAAAGTTGAACATTCGTATTTCAACCAGTGGCCAGTCTCCTCAAGTATAAACATCTCTGACGTAAACAGTGACTCTTTGTACTGTTCGTGTACGTTACCATGCATGATACCGTTCAGGAAGGGATATCGCCGCTATTATATGAGCGATGTGGCCCATTTTGTTCAGTAGAACATTATATTTATGTCTGATTTTTTTTTTTTTTTTACTTTTGATGTACCCTGTTTTAGCCTAAAGCTCAATATTATATTCAGTTTAAGACTATTTGAGTTTTTTTTTTGTTTTTGTTTTTTTTGTAGTGGCCACGTATTAAAGGTAACTGAGCTGTATGCCCACATAACCCATTAGCTTGCTCAGGCTACAAGAGCTATAGTTTGTGTTACATTTACCCTGTTTTACCCTTCACGTCTTGGAGGAAGCACATGTTAACCTTCACCCTCCCAGCCTGGTAGCAGCGAGTGGCTAGCAGGTGGTATTGGACATGATTGATTTTGGGACAAAATATTTCAATTCACTTCAATCCCATTTTTTTCACATAACACTTTCACAAAAGACATCAGCATTATAAAAGCTGGATTACTTTTGCATGTGATTTGACTGGCTAATCTGTAAAACAAGACACACCACATAATATATTTTCATCAAATCATCATAAAACATTTCCTCTTCTACTTACAAGCACAAACGTAGTATGAATTATACGTTTACAATCTGCACTTTCCACACAATCTCTCCTTTTATTTGAAAGCGTATGAAATAATTCATATAACATATAAAAAGGGTTAAAGATCTGATCAAACAAACACTAAATGAAGCAACAGCTCTGACATCCATCCAAGCTCAGGGTAAAAAAGAGCCTTTCAAATATTAGTAAGTCGAGTTGTGACGAGGCGGGATTTACAGCTTTCTTTGCTGAGTCCAGGTGGGATTTTTAGGCAGTTTTGCGAAATGTAAAAGCATCCTGCAGGGCAGAGTGCAGTGAGAGAGGAGATCAGACGCTAAGATCAGAGAGGTGGGTGTTTAACAGGCCTTGAATAATCACACCTGCTCAGGAACATCACTGCCGCTTTGGTCTTAAATCAGGAGCGCCTTAGCAGAACTACTCATTCTTTTATATCACACTGTGGCGATCCGGATGTAGCGCTCCTTCTAATGAATTACTAATCATGCTGATCTTCAAATCACTGAAGATTTAAAGAGCTGTATGTGTATATCATCTGAGCAACACCGTGGACTCGTTTCTGCCCACTATGCTGAAATCTGACTGTCCATTTAGCAATGATTTGTGAGCCCTAAATAACAGCTCTAATTAAGATCTCTGCTTTTTTATTCAAAAGTAAATATACACTGATGCAGAACGAGAGGGCCTGGCTCATAATCTCCGTTCTAGTTTATCTCAAAGGTGTTGGATGGGGTTGAGGTCAGGGGTCTGTTTGGGCCAGTCAAGTTCTTCCACACCAAACTCATCCAGCCATGCCTTTGCCTTGCTTTGTGCACTGGGGCTCAGTCATGCTGGAACAGAGAAGGTTGGAAGCATACAACTGTCCAAAATATCTTGATCTGCTGATGCATTAAGATTTCCCTTCACTGGAACTAAGGGTCCTAGGCCAACCCCTGAAAAACAACCCCATATCATTATCCCTCCTCCACCAAACTTTACAGCTGGCACAATGCAATCAGGCAGGTAACGTTCTCCTGACCTTCACCAAACTCAGACTCGTCCATCAGAGGGTGCTTTACATCACCCATCAACCCACCAAATGTTGGGCACGTCTTACATTCCTTAAAGTGACATGTATCCATCACTAAATCTGTTATAAACACGCTTTCCTGCCTCCCTCAGCAATGCTGCAGCAGTCTCTAGACTGAGATATTTAGTTTAAAGACTAGAAAAAGCCTGTTCTGATGATGTACTCTGAACACTTTTCGCAGCTGTATGACTCTAGTAACTGTCTTCAAATCATCATTACAATGGAGAGAATAGAATGCTAATCAGATAAGATGGGCAACAAGCTAAAAGCTAAAGCTGGCTATGTAGATACTGCAGTTTGGCTTCTTCTCTGTGGCTGAAAGGGTAAAGACATAAGAATTAATGCTAGGCTAGCAGTCAGGATTGGATGACACTACAGGGATTCTCTATAGTTGTATGGCTTATTTGCATAATGCATACTGGTATTGCAGTAAGAGAACATTGTTGAAACCTGATGAGTCTGAGGGATAAAGGATGCTACAGAATACTATATTATACTCCAAATACCATGATAAACTCAAATTTTATGCTGGACGGAGTCCAGCCACTTTGGATCAAACTTCTGCAAAGTCACACACACACATATACACATATCGGCAAAAGGCCTAATTTCATATTATTGAAAATAATGACTCCAAAAAAGTGCTAATGGATTC